GCCCAGACCATTTTTAATTGAGCCAACGCGCACAGCATGCTGCAGAGGCCCACATTTCCGCATAGACGGGCATAGACCGCCTGTCCATTATACTCACTCACCTGTAAAATAAATGGCAAAACTGCCAACACTTTGGCAACGCGCTGACAACTCCGAGGCACATGCGGCGACACAAAGCTTCAAGGGGCTGCCGGGGGAGGGGTGAGGCGCCATAGGGGCAGAGGCTGTTCCAATTTAATGCAGAAGCTAGAAGGCAAACTGCGACGGGGGCGACTGCGACTGCGACTGCGATTGCGATTGTGATTGTGACTGTGATTGTGATTGTGTGACTGCGATCTGGCTGGCAGTTACCGTTAGGTGTCAAAGATTTCATGCCCCATGTCGCAAAGTAACGACACACAATCGATCACAAATCAAACGAAGAGAGCGCAAGAGCAGCGGATAGAGAGAGATAGAGAGAGAGAGAGAGAGAGAGAGAGAGAGGGAGAGGTAACTGGCGTTGCGACAGTCGTCCAAATGTGTCTCAAAATTCAGGCCGCTAAAGCTGCACAGTTTCATAAATTGCAGGTGACCTGCCGACCAGCAGCAACCGCAGCAGCAGCAACAGCAGCAGCAGCAGCAGTAACAGCAGCCAAAAGCCAGCATAGAGGCATAACAATAAATTAAAAATGGCCAACTGTGTTTGGCTTGGGTATCTGCACACACACACACACGCCATCACACACACTTCAGCTGCTGTCCTCCAGCCTCACCTCCTTCTGCCCTCGAGCTCTGCGCCTCTCCGCCAGCCCACCTGCCGTGCGATTTGGTTATTGGAGCGTTGTTGTCTATTTTTTCTTCTTGGTTTTTCTTTTATTTTTGTTGCTGATGGACAGCATCGATCCCGAATCCGCATTCAATAGCTGATCGAATGGAGCTCCAAGTGGCAGGCCACGTTTGATGGACACGTTTGCTGATGCATAGCTGCAACTTTATTGGCTTTTAATGAGCTATTCGAGCGCGTATGTATGTGTGTGTGGATGCATGTCAAGGCTGCATGCCTTGTGAATGGCACAAGCTCTTAAGCATTTAGATCACAGCACTCAAAGTGTACAAATACTTTTTTATTTATTTTATTTTATAGCTCATTTTCATTAATTGATTCATGAACTTTTATATATATTCAAAGCCAAACATGTGGTTCTTAAAATTAGTTTCAGAGAGTTTCAGTTTGAGACTGCACTAAATAAACTAATAATGAAATCAAAGGCAAAATCAAAATTGTTTGTGTTTTTTTTATTTTATTTTATTTATACTCATTCAAAAAATTATTAATTAATTAATTATTCTATACTCATTCACGAAAGTGAATTATTTTATACTCATTCTCGAAAGTGAATTAGCATATTGGTTTTGTGCAATGTCCGTCTTGCTGTCCGTCCGTCTGTCTGACTGTCCGTCTGACTGTATGAACGCAGTTCACTTCGGCGCTATTGAAGCTAGAGACTTGAATTTTAGAACACATACTCGTGTATATCCCCGATTTATTAAGTGTTAAAATTTTCTCGATCTGCCCACTAGGGGCGTGGCAAATCGAAAAATGCATTTTCCGATATATTAGAAATCATATTAGTTGAAAAGCTAGAAAGCTGAAATGGAATGTAGATCCGCATCGACCACCCCAGATTACGAACTATGGCGGATATATCTCCGCCCATTGGGGGCGTGTTAAATCGGATAAGACTATATCTCCAAGAGTATTACAGCTAGAACGCTGAAATTTTGCACGTAATTATTGGTCTACGCCCATTAGGGACATGGCAAATCGGACCTGAAGATATAGTGATTTTTTAATACCGCTATATTTTTGACAAATTTTGTATATATACTCGGGCTGGCCACCCAAGACCAAAAGGCTTCGACGGATAGATGTCCGGCCAAAGGAGGCGTGGCAAACCGCAAAAGTTTATATCTCCTAATAAGAGCCAGCAGCTCTACGCCTTAGAAATAAGTTGTACGCCTCTTTAGGGGCATGACATATCGGAAAATACCCTGTAAGCATTCAATTGCAGTTAGGGTATCGTTAGCTCGTTCTAAGAACTGAGCAAAATGAGGTATTTACGCCCAGTAGGGGCGTCACAGATTGGGGAAAACTGCATTCTCTATAGACTGGAAAGGTTTTTTTTTTTTTTTTAGAATTTATTGAAATTATTGAATTAAAAGTGAAATATTTATATTTAAGTTGGCAGACCTACGGACTCATATGCCTACTAACCCCTCGTTAGAAAATCCAAATAAATTTGATAAACTGCAGCACTGCATGATCTTAAAAGGACGACACTTTTGTATAGATCATTCGTTTGTGTATATCATTATTTTTATTGGCTTGTTACTATCAAATCAGAGGAGCACGCTAAATTACATACGGAAAGATACTGATAGTGAAAAAAAATTTGCATTCAACTTCCACTCAGATCAATATTGATGTTAAATAGCTACGATGAAAACATCAAAACTTTTCAGAATTTAGCATAAATAATTTGATGATTCATCAAGACATTTTATTGAATACCTATCCAAAAACTACAATATATACTCTCTCTCATTTGTACTTTATTTAAATGGTTGTGAATATTTTAAAAACTATTGCAGATATTAGGAACGTGCGAGTCTAGAAATGTATTGCAGCCCGAGTATATTGCTGGCTTTATTAGTTTGTTGGTTTGTTGGCCTCGCTGGTTTGTTTACTTTTACTCATTTGCATGTGCTGCGGGTCATTAAACCTGGCGTCAACCTCACCAAGATGACCTGACCAAAAGGCATATTCGTTAGACATACAATCAGACGTATAGGAGTAGTATATTAATTAGCCCAAAAAAACCGGTATGTTATACATGTTTAACCTTTATGCTAAACGCGGCCCCATCGAGCGAGTCCGACGTCGATGCCGATGCCACTACTAACGTCGACGCCGGCTGCAGCAGAGGTAGCTACTGTCTGTCGGCCGGGTTGATTATTAATTTACCAATAAATTGCCGCTGCGTATACGTAATATTTCACAATTTTAGCTTAATGATCGAAACGTTATTCATGCACTGATTTCCGCTGCAGGTGTCATCGTCGTCGTGCGGAAAAGAGATAGCAGCAGCACTCTAACCAGTTGCGCGTATTAGCAAAAACTGAGAAAAAATAAAAAGCTAAAAGCTAAAGAAAGAAACTGAAAAAGAAGCCAATCCAAGGCCCGCATTGAAATTACAAATGACGAGAAATTTGTCATCTTTATTATTGCAAACAACGCGCGCGCGCAGCCGACGACAAACGACGACAATGCTCCCCTGGACAATTGGCGGGTGCGTGTTGCTGGACCCCAATCCATGGGGCCAAGCTAGGCTGTCTGTCGAGTGGAGTCGAGGCGAGGCCAGAGGAGCACACATAGGCCGCAGACCGAGCTGCCGCCGTTTGCCGCTGTTGACAACTTGCCACACATCTTTTGGCTAAGCTCTGGACTGCGCACAGTGGCTAGTGGCTAGTGGCTAGTGGCTAGTGGTTACCGGAGTGGACAGGGACAGCCACTTGGTAGCCATTGTGCGCTCAATTGATTTTTCATTTAAATAAAAATCCACAGCGGATTTGGACCCGGGCCTGTTGTGTGGCTTAATGAGCTGCCCGTTTCTTGTTATTGTTCAGCTTCTGCTTCAGCTCCAGCCACGAGCAAATATTTTTGTTAGCCCCTGTCTGTATGTATGTGTCTGTTTGTTTATGGTACACAAAGTTTTTATTTTTATTTTTATTTTTATTTCAGCAAAAAAATATGTATTGTAGGTATGTATAAGGTATTGGCGTACAAAAGTAATACACTTTGATCTTGTTTCTTTCGTTTGTTTTTGTCTTGAATGGTTGCAGTTGGCTTCTTTTTTTCTGTGAGGCTTGTATAAATCTATGTAGCAGTTGCAGCTCTTCTGTTGCGCCGCTCGTTGCACGAGTCTGGCGAATTTATCGACTCTGATCTCAGTTTATTGGCTTCAAAGTCCACAGCAAGTGTAATTAAGAGCTAACAAGAAAGAACTTAATTTCGTTGCTCTCACAGAAATCATTTTCAAGTAATAAAAATTAACAGGTAAATACAAATTTAACTAACGAAAATAACACAGCAGAAGCATAAAGTCTGCTATCAGTTCTGAATTCTGAAAAATAAACAACTTCATATTGTATTTGCTTGCTTGAGAAGCGAATTGAAAGGCGTGCAATAATTACGATATAGCATAGCATGATAGGCCGTCAAATATTTTACGAAGTTCATTTATAAATGTTTTGGAATGTTTTTAGTTAGTCGATCGACTGCACTAAAATTGCCGTTTCGTATGGTACGAATGTATATGTGTATATAAATATATGAGTAATTATATCAGAGTTGATTAAATCGCACGATTGTCATTTATAAATATTGCTGCCTCTTGTGTCTGTGGTCTCTTTTGATTTACCGTCTTCTTCTGTTTTCGTATAAAATTTTCTACTTAACTTCCAATGCAAAAATTTGCGCTAAAATTAGTTAAACCTTCTTACTGGCTAATGTATTGTGGATATGTAAACGTATCGCGTTTAGTAAATGTATGTACACACCAGTTGCTAGCACCAATACAAATGTCTAAATATCAAATATCAAATATATCAAATTCCTTAGGTAGTGTAGTAGTAAACTGTCTTTATACTCGTAGTACCGCTTGTTAACTTGGCTTCTTGAAGGCAACGTCTGCTTAGATGCTATAAACATTTTACAAATTGTCTTTTGATTGAATTACTTACTGGCTAATTCCTTACAACTCGACTGGGCTTTGAGCCCGCTTACGGATCTAAATTGAGCTACTTAAGCGTTAAGACATACAAACTGAACGAACAAAGTGATGCATGAAACAGTGTTTTATAAATAATAAGGAGAAAACGTCAAAACAAAACGGCCTCATCATGGGCACTTTCCTATGTATGATGTTGATGTGGGCGTGGGCGTGGGCGTGGGCGTGGGCGTGGGCGTGGGCGTGGGCGTGGGCGTAGTCGGGGCTATTTTTTGAGTATTCCCATATGGCCTGCGGCTCAGTGACGTCGCATGTGCAGCGACAGGTGATCGGAGCGACTGAAGCTGCGAGTGCAGAGCTGACAGCGAAAGGGTTTGACACCCGTGTGCTTCCTGTAGTGGCGGGTCAGCTCGTCGGAGCGGGCGAAGCGCCAGATGCAGCCCTCCCAGGTGCACACGTACGGTTTCTCACCTGCGCATGGAAAAGCAAATGAGCCAAAATGACGATAAGAGCTTGTGATAGTGTGAGTGTGAGTGTGAGTCATGAGAAGAACATAATAAGCTTAGACTAGACGCCATTTTGTGCAACTCACCTGTGTGCGTGCGCTTGTGCGCCTTCAGATGCGAGCTCTTGGTGTAGACCTTGTCGCAGCCCTCCGTGTCGCACTTGTGTACCTTTCGGTTCTTATAGAGATCATTGAAGCCGCTGCCATTGGAGGCGGCGTCGCGACTGAACGAGGCGCCACTGCCCGCACCGCTGCTGCCGAAATTGATGCCGCTGAAGCTACTGCTGCTGCTGCTGTCCTTACGCGCCCCGCCRCCTAGTGCCAGGCCGCCAAAGGCGGGGTTCAGTGCCGCATGCGTCGACCCACCTGAGCTCGTGTAGCTCTTCCAGCTGGGCGGTGAGCAGACGCCGCCAACAGTTGTTCCTGTGCTTGCGGACTTGCTGCCGCTGATGCTGTTGCCGCCACTCGCTGAGGAGCACTTGCGGGACGCTTGGGCATCGGTGATTTTATAGGGACTTTTGAAGAGGCTCAGCAAGCTGAACTTGCGATCGTAGTCCTGCATGAGAGCGCTGCTGCTGTTGCTGTTGCTGTTGCTGGTGCTGCTGCTGCTGCCGTTGTTGTAGCTGCAGCTGTTGTTGTTGTCCTCCTGCTTGCTGATGCGTCGATACGTGAAGAAGAATGGCGATGCTGCAAAGAATGGCGAGAATGGCAACTTGGAGACGCCGGAAGAATATATCTGCTGCTGCTGCTGCTGCTGCTGTCGCCCGAAGGCGCCCAAGCTTGAGCCAGCTGCACTTGCATAGCCACTAACGGAGGATGAGCACGATGAGGCCTGCTTGCCATTGCTGTAGCTGCCGTTGCTGTAGTTACTGCTGGAGCTGCTGTAGGCTTTGCTGCTGGGTCCTGCTTTGGTGGCGGATTTGCTGCTGTTTCTAGTGGTGCTGCCGCTGCTGCTGGGGCAGGTGGCGTGCGAGGTGCTCGCTGGAATTGTAAAGGCAATTGAACGTCAGTTAAACAAAATGGCCAACTGTTGAGTTTTTATGGTCGCAAAAGCTTAATGAGACTCGTTAAATGTGCTCGGGTATTGGCATAAAATCAGCTTAGCTTTAGCCAAGACAGGCTGAGGCTGGGCAGAGGAGGGGGCGACGGCAGTCGACATCAAGTGAACTGCCTCAACTGTCTGGAACACTTTGCCTTGTCAGTTAACAGTTGTACACAATTTCCTAATTTTGCTTGGCCGGGCCGGGCTGGAACCAGGCGGATCGAGTCATTGCATCAAAAACGTTTGCATGTCGCGTACTTTATGGGCCCCAGACAGTCGGACAGACAACGGCGACAGACGGACATCAAATCCGTGCAGTCGTGATCCATTTAACCTGTGCTTGAGCGCCGCCGATTGCCAGTCGGAGTCGGAGCAAGTCGGCCCGGCTGTGAGCGGCTGCGAGCACACGGCCCCTGCTACAGGGACAAGTGTGTCGATTTTGGCGCCCGCGACATCAATTGCCAACAGCAGCAGTCGCAGCAGCAGCAGCAACAACAGCTGCCACAACTACTGGCTGCAATCGAATGCCATAATGCCTGCGTGACGGCTGTCAGTTTCCTCAGCTAACTGTCTAGCCTCTCTCTCTCTCTCTCTCTCTCTCTCTCTCTCTCAAGCTCTTTACTCTGCTGGAGCCACCTCTTGAGAAGGGCTTCGCCGTGCTCCATATGAAAGTCTCCACTCTGCACTACGAGTCACTTGACTGTACTTGTCTTCGCGAGTTGGGATTATGGGTTTGTGCTCTGCTCTTAGTTCCGATTGAATAATGAATATTGATCAGAACGCTCGGGTTGAGACGACTTCTAACTAAAATCATTGATTAAATTAATTATTCTATATGTTATTAATAGAAAAACAAGTGAGAAGGCTCTAGTCGAGACTGCTCGACTAGGAGATACCCTGAACCCTCTAACCATTATACCCTGATTTCCCATTTTCAATGGGTTCAGGGTATAAAAATAATTTGAGCTGCTAATTCTAAGTATATATAGCAATACTGAACAAAAAGAAGAACATCTAGGGCAAGCTCGCTCTAAAATACTCTCTAAATATACGGGTTATCTTTCAATTAACGAAACTATAATATTAATAAATCATAATCTTAAAAAAAAAAAAATAATAATAACAATAATTTCAATGTTTCCTTAATAATAATAAGCAAACATTCAACCACTTATCAATTCAAAGTAATCTCCCAGCCTTGCATACTTGCTCGAGGACTCCGTTACGGAGTAGGACCCAAAGAATTCAAGAGGATCTGTCACTATGTTTACCAGATTTTCATTCAATTTGTATCGAAATATTAAAATGATCCTCTCCTTGAGTCGAGAGTCAGACTATATTTTTCATGACCTTTTAAATTATGTTTTGTAGTTAGCCTCGAATGGGAACCACAATGGCCCCAATTACATTTTGTCTCGATAGATTCAATCTCTAAAACGCCAAAGCATAATTATCCATTAATTAATTTCTTCATAGTAACAAACTATTAATAATATTTTTGTACTGCTTTACCACCTTCCATTCGTTTGTCTCCTACTGTCTTTAATTTGCCTTCTCGCACTTCTTCCTCATTTCAATATATCAATAAATGACGAATATTCCATTTTTAGCCTTAGCAAATTCGTATTAATGAATGCACTACGGGCTGAATATTATAAGTTAAAGAACATATTTTAAAGCTGTATAGTCAACCTAACGAAAGTATTTGCATATTTACGACCCATTTACATTGTTATATCTCTATGTTCCGTCGCCTTAAATTGTAATATGGTTTGTATTTAAATACATAAATCTGCCTAATTGTTAAATCTGCTTTCGGTTTCTGCTTTAGATGTTCGATTCGTTATTCCAGTTCATTGCATAAGCCTAATTTGACGACTTTTGTAGTTACACTGTTTCATATGCAAATGCATGAGTATTCGTAGTAAACTAAATAAATAATAAGAATAATCAAAATCCAATGGGAAGTCTCCTACTAGATGTTACCGTCTGCTCAGAATTGATAACTCATTATTAGACTATTTCCGTATTAAATGGAATCGGAATCGCAATCTCTTTCCTCTCTATATCTCTCTCTTTCTCTCTCTCACTCTCTTTTTATACCCTGAGCCCATTTTCAATGGGAAATCAGGGTATAATGGTTTTGTTAAAGGTATGTAACAGGCAGAAGGAGGCGTGGCAGACCCCACAAAGTATATATATTCTTGATCAGGGCGACGAGCTGTCAGTCTGTCCGTATGTTTGACCGTATATGCCTTTAAAGTTCGATAAATCATCCCGTTATGTTTTATCGAATAAAAACATGCAAGTTCAAGTCAGATGCCAGTATAGCTAATTGTGAATGATTTTTCATTTTTTTTAATTTCTAAAATATTCAATATAATATGTAGATCATATGCTGAAAGTTTCATTAAATTCCGTTAACTCAATCGACGTTAAAACAAGTAAGAATGCTCTAGTCGAGACTGCTCGACTAGGAGATACCCTGAACTCTCTAAGCTGATCCACACGAATCCACACGCACGTATAATCACGCGCTCTGCTGACTGCGCAGTTAGCAGCGACTGCGCTTGGGCACTGCAGTGTGGGCAATATTATGAGATTCGAGCTGAGTCGATATAGCCCTGTCCGTCTGGCCGTTCGTCCCTCCGTCCGTATAAGCAAGCCGATCTCAAAAGATATACGAGCTAGACAGCTGAAATTTTGTATGCATGTAGAATAATTGATAAACTGAATTGATTTGATCAGCCTACTTTGAACACTTTTAGACCAGGGGACTTCAGATTTAATTTTATATACAGTTTATAAACATACAAATTATGTAAGTTACAGATTTTGGATACCACGCCCCCTTCGCCCACAATTCGTAAAAAACTTATTTTAAGTACATACTTAGGAATATACATACATGTGAACATTATGATCATGTTCTGAAAGCTTAATGAAGATAAGTCCAAAATAAATTATTCAACAAGTAAATTCTCATAATATTGCCGACAAAAGTCGCTGCCTACTGAACAGTTAGCAGATCGCCTGCTTATGCACTCGTGTGGTTTCATCTGCATGTACATATATGTGCATAAAAGAAGAGCAGATTGATTAGAATATCAGCTTGGAAGGTTCAGTGTTCTTTTTCTTGGGTATCACCTTATTTGTCGACTATTTACTTTTATTTTATTTTAGATCTGTGAACCAAGATATTATAGCTGGGTTAGCTATGAATATGAATATCGACTTCTATTCATGCACATATTTAATTGATTATATTTATTAAAATCAGCAGAGAAGAGATGAATCACAGGTATTCAGACTTAGTTCACTGGTAAGACTGAAATGTGTGTGGAAGGAACTAAGCGCTCGCTGTTCAGAATCATATTATATGTTATATAATTTTAATGTCCATTATATAAATATAAAGTCTGACAAATTCCTACATTAGTACACTATAAGGAAATATAGTCTAAACAACAGTTAAAATTAGTCAAATCTGTTTATATATTGTACATATGTAACCTATTTTGTATTCAAGTTATTTTTAGTTTTGTATAATTTATCTTTTTTTTAGATTTTGCTCCCTTCTCTACGGCTACCGCTTTCAATTTTCACTTGTTAAAGCTCCCCTCGTTTTGGCTGGCTGTCGCCGTCGGTGCTATTGTGGTGGTTGTTGTTGTTGTTGTTGTTGTTGCTGGCAAACTGTAAGAGTGACCCATGCTTAAGTGCTTTGTCTGGGGCCCCCTGCCACAGCATGACCGAGGGACACAGAGACTCAGCCGCTGCGCTGACCGTCAACGCGGGTCTGTTGGCCGGGTTGGCCGGCCGCTTGTTTTAGCCCGAAGTGCTTCAAGTGCGTTAGCGTTAGAGCTCCGGCCTGTCTACACATGCTCACACGAACCGGGAACTCGAGCCGACTCTTGCTGTGGCTGTTGCTGATGCATTTGTAATTTCCATGCCAGCATTTGGCTGCACAGCGCCCAAGGTAGCGCACTGTGTGTGTGTGTATGCATGAGAGAGAGAGAGACTGCCTCGTGTTATTAAAATTGATGGCATTTAATTGAACTGGCCATCAACGTCAGCCCACAGTGCCGTTTTTTCCCCATTTAGCCATTTTGCGGTGTGTTGCCCCATTTGCAATTGCGACGCTTAGAAGGGACCATTCATTTGGATCTCGGCTCTCTCGATGCGAATGCGAATGCATATGCTAATGCGCATTATGTGGCCAACAGCAGCAGGCGGCTGACTGTCATATATTTTGTGTCCAAATATATATGTATGTATGTAGTATCTATATATATATCATTGAGATAAATATACATTTGTAGCTGAAGAGGTCTATCTGCCGGATTCTGTTTGCTCTTTATAGCTGTAA